GACTGGTCTGTGTGTCTTCGTACCACCCTGTCCTGAGGTGTCAGCCCTATCCCCACCATAGCCCATTATTTATTGAAGAACCTCTTGCTAAACATCTTCAATTAAACCAAACCTTTTTTGAGTTGTCTGTCCCTGCAGAGAATCCGCCTCTGACCAGCTGCTTGTGTCCTGCCCCACGGCGGGTTGACCACAGACCCTTTTCTGTGGGGCTTGGGGAGCTGCTGCTGCTGCTCCAAGCCAGGAGAGGTGGGACAGGGAAGGGGAAGCAGCTCCACGAGGGCTGATCCCGCCCTTCCAACAGAACTGCAGGATGGGTGGGTTTTCCTAAGCTGGGCTCCTCGCTGGCTGTGCCCGCTTCAGTCAGGACCAAGGCCCTCAGGCACAGCCTGTGCTTGGGAGCTGCTCCTGCACCTGGGACAAGCTGCTGCCAGCCCCTGCCTGGAGCCCTGGGGAGCACAAGGCACTCTGGAGCAACCCAAACTCAAGGGCTGTCGTGGTGAAGCACCTGAGCCAGCCCACACCTCTCCTGCCACCCCCAGCTCCAGCCCTTCACCTCTGCCCTCTGTGCTCCCCCAGGCTGCACCTCCCCAGCTCAGGGTCACCACCAGCTCTGCACCAACCCTCAAGAACAATCCCAAATGTTAAACTTTCAGCAAAGCCATTTATTCCACTTTCCTGCTCCCACAGATCTCCAGGTAGGGACCCACATGAGCATCCACAACGCCCCAGAGGGAATTCATGGCACGGCTGCCCCGTTGTGCCAGCACCCCAAGGGGAGCCTGGCCACTAACATGGGCAGAGGTGCTTGACCAGAAGCCCCAGCCTCAGCTGTGCCCAGTGCCAACACAACCACGTCCAAGTCAAGACGGGGCATTTAAAAAATTAGATGTTTTGTTCCTTACAAATGAAACGGGGACCTGACAGCAGCAGTTGTCCCTGAAATCAAAGCGTTATTCTAAGGCTCTGGCGCCCGCACGTAAGCACATGAACTCTCTGCAGGGGCTGTGCAGGTTGATCTGGGAAGCTCGCTAAGAGTTTAATGGCCATAAAAATAAAATCGCTTTTCCCTGCTTTAGACAAACCCAACCCCTCCCGGCTGGGCAGTGGGATCGCGTGGGCAGCCACTGCAGCCAGCCACGGGTCGGAAAGTTAGAAGTCTCTCAGCTCACCCACTTTAATTGAGCGCCAACACGGCGGCGTCACTCCATCCCCTCGGCATGCTCTGCCATAGCATCAGCGCCCAGCCCCACCTGCTGCTCCAGCGCCTCGGCCTCGCCCTCCAGCCCCACCAGATGCTGCTCAGCCCCCCCGTGCAACATGCCCGGGTGCTCTGCCCTCTCTCCCAGCTCGTTGCCCGCTCTAGCCAGCTCGTTGCCCGCCTTGTGGTGTCCTGCTGCCCCTCCGGCGTGGTCGATGGCCGCCTTCTTCGGCCTCTGCGTGGCAGCCACCGCCTCGGCCAGCTTCTCCTCCGGCACCATGTTCAGGATCTTCAGGGCAAACAGGAGCTGGAACTTGGCGGTTCCTACGAAGGAGTTGGCCAGGAAGTTGGGCAGCCCGCCCATGCGATCCTTCTGGGTGTAGAGGGGGACACGGACCATGCCCATCACCTGCAACAGCACGGGCACGGCTCAGCAGGGGCCACAGCAGCATCAGCCCCCCCGCCCCGCACCCCTCTGCCCCACACCCTCACCCAGTGCCCGCCAGCCCTCAGCCCAGGCTTGCCCTGCCCCTGTGCCAGGTTCTGACCCTTTGTCCCACACCAGCCCCTGCCCTTGCTGCCCTCAGCCCCACTGAGCCCCTTCACTGCCCCTGCCCAAACCCCCCAGGGCCCTGCTCTGCCTGCCCAGCCCCTCAGCCCAGCCCTGGCTCTGCTCCCCCTTCTGCCCCTTCGGAGGGATCCCGCTGCCCCAGGCCACTATGGGGAGTCCCACTTTCCCCTCCATCCGTGCCCTGCGTGGTGACACCACGGCTAACCCACGAGTCCCCCACTACCAGGCCACAATCCAGAGCCCGCTGCCTCTGCTCGCACGGCTGCCAACACCCACCGGGCGCCCCGTGGGCGCGGGGGGAGGCCCTGGCTCTCACGCTCTGCCCCGGCCACCAGCCGGCCCTGGCTGCCCGGAGCAGGAAGGTGCCCCCCGCAGGGGAGGAACTGGGCTCACAGCGACATCACCACACCGAGGTCACGGTCCAGTCCGGGGCACTCAGCCCAGGGCAGGGGGAGATCCCCCCAGCTGCAAACGGCCCTCGCCCACATCCTGAGGCCAAGCGGTAACACGGGGCTCATCCCTGCGTGGGTGGACACCGGGAAAAGCTGGAGCTCAAGCTCGCTATGCTCTGGAGCCTGCGGCACGACCCGGCCACAGTCCCTAACGCCGATGCCACGGGCGGTGCGGGCACCTGCCGCCGGCAGCTCTACCTGCGGTGCATTCCCCGGCCGGGCTGGCCAGGGCAGCCCGGCAGACCCAGGAGGGAAGCGGCGCCTTCCCTGGGCTAACTGAGAGCTCGCACACCCCTCCCGGGTGTCCCACCTCCATCCCGTGGTCTCGGGAATGCACCGCGCTGATCTCGATGGTGTGCAGCTCCTCCAGGGTGAGCTGCCTGGCGTAGAAGTGTGCCACCACGCGATGTGGCCCCTCTGTCAGGTGCGAGCACAGATAGTCAGCTTCCGTCAGGCGCACACAGCCTAAACCCAAGCCCAGCACCCGATTCAGACCGTCCTCCAGGGACCAGTAACGGCGATCCACGAACCCCCCGGGAAAGCCCAGCAGTCCGTCAAATCGCATCTGCATCTGCAATAGAGGCGCAGGGTGTTAATGGGGCACGGCGCGGCCCCCGGAGGGGGGGCGAGGGGGCGTCACGGAGGCCTCCGGAGGAGCCGGAGGAGCGCGGGAGGCGTCGCGGCCGCTCCGTCGCGGCACTACAGCCGGCGCATCCAGGACCATCCACCGACAGCGGCCCGGCCTCGGGGCTCTGCGCCCCGGCCGCACAAGCCCGCGGGCCCGGGGGCTCCCCCCCGGGCTCGGGCCCAGCCTGATACTACCGCCCTGAACGGGAACTACCGCGGAGCCACCGCCCCTCAGCCCGCCGCCCCCGGAGCCCGCGGCCCGACCCAGCCCAGTCCGCCCCGACCCGGCCCGAGGGCCCGCCCGCCGCCGCCCTGGTCCCAGCCCCGGCCCGGCGCGGCCTCGCCCCCCCCTCACCAGCACGGCGTAGCGCAGCGGGATGCGGCCGAACAGCATGCCCGGGTTGGGCGCGTACAGCATGGCGTGGCACGAGTGGCTCCAGCCCGGGCCGAGCCGCATCGCCTCGTACCGCGTGAGCGGTTTCAGCTCGGGCACGCCGGGCACGCCGAGAGTGGGCAGAGGCGGCAGCGCGCCCATGGCGGGCAGCGGGCCCATGGCCGCCATCGTCCCCACGGCCGCCATCGCCTCGCGCCACCGCCGCCCGCTCCGCGCACGCGCCGCGCCCACGACGCCGCGGGGGCGGGACCGCCGCCGGCCTCAGCCAATGGGAGCGCGCCGCGCGCCGCAGAGCCAATGGGCTCTCGGCGGAGTCCGCCAATCGCCGCGCGCGCCAGAGGCGGGGCAGCCGGCGGGCGGTCAATGAGGGGCGGACGGGCTGCGCGCGCCGCTCGCCTTATTAGGGCAGCGAGGAACGCGGGGGGCCGGCGGCGCGCGCGGCCAATCCCAGCGAAGCGCGCGGGGAAGGCGGGGCGCCGAAGGGCACGCCGGGAAGGAGGCGGGGGCGGGAACGAACGAGCCCTCCCGCTGTGCTCTTGCCACGGCCCCCCGCACTGGCCCCGCCCCCAGCCCCCTCGGTGCACACGGACTCGCGTGGCTGCTCCACGGGTTTATTACTACAAACATAGACGGGGAGGGGGGGATGTGCCCCGGGACCCCCCGCAGAAGCAGAACAAGGCACACGGCGTGGGCAGCGCCGGGCTCTGCGGGAACGGGGGCGCGGGGGTCACCCCGAACGGGCTGGGACGGGGCTGACCCCCAGGGCCCCCCGTGACTGCCTCGGGGTGGGCCGGGGCTGACCCCCGCACTCCCCCGCTCCCGCGGAGCCCCGCGCCCCGGCAAGGCAGGGAGGGCCACAGCTATGTACAGGGGCAGTGACAGCAAAGGGCTGTGCTCGGTAAGTACAAAATATACATCGGTAGTGTCCTTCATCTGCCGACTCGGACCCCAAACCCCCGCCCCGGCCCCACGGACACCTCCCACGGAGAAACACGACACCAGCCCCTACCCACCGCCAGGAAGCATGCACGGGCTGTGCCGAAACCGCGTCGGTGCGACACCCCGCGCTGCGTCCCGGGAGGGCCCGGCGGGGCCCGGCGGCACCGGCAGGGTCCGGCCCCGCTCACGAAAGGCTCTGCTCGTCCTCCAGGTGCAGACGGGTCTGCTCGAAGAGAAGGGGCTGCGTGGGGCTGCCGGTGCCGCGGACGGGGAGCGTCTTGGTGAAGTCGGACGAGCCTGGGTGAGGACAGGGAGTTCAGTGCCAGTAACGGGAGCCCTGGTGGGGTGCTCAGCCATCCCTCCCACCCTGCACTGACCACAGGAGATGGGGCTGCAGCCAACCTCTCATCCCCTCAGGTGCAGGCCGAGTGTCACGGGTGGGACACAGGACACTGAGGGGGCACGCTGTCTGCCGCAGCCTGGGAGAAGCCAGCAGGGCCTGGGTGTTGGTGGTGCCCAGGAGGCAGCAGAGCCCGCGCTCAGCAGAAGCCAGCGGGGAGGCGTTTCTGCTGCCCGGCCCGGCGTCCTGGCTCTCAAGGACAGCACGAATGCTGTGCCAGGAATGGGAAGGGAGCGAGGACAGAGCCAGCAGCGCAGCCTGGCTGGTTTGCTGCCCCTCCTTCCCTGCCCCGTGGGCAGGAGCAGCCCCATCCCCGCTCTCTGCCAGCACTCCCAGGAGGGCCCTGCTGCCCCACACAACAGGGATGCGTAAGAAGAACGAGAAGACGTACCAGCTTACTCCTCTATACCAACAGAGCAGGAATCAGGACCAAGTGCTGCCCAAGACAGGAGGGAGGAAGGCAGACAGAGAGGGAAGGAGACATTAGAGAGGTAACTCAGAACAGACTGCGACTCTACGGAAGAAAACAGGCTGCAACAACAACAGTCAGAGGTGAGGACAGCGCAGTGTCCCACGGGCGTGCTCAGAGCACGGCACACCGGGACCCTCCCTGCCGTGACAACACTGCCCCGGTCCCCCTGCTGCTGGCCCACACGGCTCCCCTCCCTCACCCCAAAGCAGGAGCACACTTGGGAGCACACAGGAGGCCTTTGTCACACACAACTGTGCTGGGAGCGGCTGTGGCCCAAAGAGAAGACAGGAGGGGAAGGACAGAGACACGAGGGTGAGGGAGGAGAGAGAAGGGGGCCGAGTTACCTCTGTGTAATCCCCCCTTGCCCACCGCTCACCCTGCCCGCTGAAGCAGGAGCCCGTGCACCGGGCAGGAGCATTCCAGCCCCATGCCAGGGCTGTGGGACACAGCTCCACAGACCCCCGGCCCCAATGGCGCGGCCGTTACCTGGCAGGAAGACATCGACCGGGGGGTCGCTCTCGGAGCGCGTCAGGCTCCGGCTCTCGCCGCAGCCGCCGTCCTGCAGCACGTCTTCCACCGAGGGCGGGCGGCTACCTGGAACCAGCCGAGAGCGCGGCCCCTCAGCCCCCAGCACAGGCCACGGGCACTCACGGCCAGGGCGCGTCGAGGTCTTGCATGCGAGGAAGCTCCCGAGGCCCCCCCAGCCCCACTGGAGTGCCGGTCACATTGGCCCGGGTCACAGTGCCAAAGGGCCACCTCCTCACGTGCAGCCTCGTGGCACAAAGCGTGCCCATCGCTCCTCTCTCACCCCATCCTTCTCCCCTCTAGGTGCTGACTGAGCACCAGAGACCCATCCCAAGGACCCAGAGACCCGTTCTGTGTGCCCAGTACCATGGATGTGCTCTCACCAGGACCCCAGTGGTGTCCTCACTGGTGCAAGCAGAGCTTGTGGCATGGAAAGCTCTACCTGAGTAAAGCTCAGAGCAAGGCAAGATGCTTGGCAAATAAACCAGGAGACCTGTGGATTTTGCTCCCTCGGCTCTGAAGAAAAGACCCTGGCACCTTTCCCTGGTGAAGAACAGAGCCTCAGAGATGGACTTATGGGGCTGGATGTTTCTGAGCTCATTTGTTCATTCCTCAGTTGTCCCTGTCCCACCACAACAGCACTGAACTGTTGCAAGGTCTGCACCCACACCTACCCTGCTGCACCGATGAGGCCTCCTCCATCTCTTCCCCTGCCACGCTCTGTAAGGAGGGACAGCACAGGTTACTTCTGCAGCTGGAGCCTTTGCTGTGCCATTCTCCTGCTTTGGTTTTTTCCAGGGAACTGTGCTCAGGGCCAGGGCTTGTTCCAGGGCAGGAGCAGGGGGCTACCCCAGTGCTGCAGCACCACAGGCTGGGACAGAGGGGTCTTACCAGCAGTGGGCACTGGAAGCTCCTAATGTCCAGCTCCCACCCCCGCCCCAAACACTGCTAGGCATGCCCAGGATGCTGGGGAAGGTCAGCTCTGCCATGCCTCCAGCTGAGTGGTTTTCCACTGCCAAAGAGGTGTCAGGAGCACAGGGAGTGGCTACATCCTTCCCCATGGAGCCTTAGGGGTAAACAAAGCAGCCAAGACTCTTGGCTCGGGGCAATGGTCCTTCAGGAGGCATTTCCCATGTTCCAGAAGCCCCCTAGAAGAGCTCTGGCTCAGAAGCCCCCCAGCAGAGCACACACTTACCTCTGGAGAGCTGGTTTCCCTCAGGACCAGCTCACCCCCGCTCAGCACCGCCTGCGAGTCAGAGTCCTCAGAGAGCTTCTCCTCATCCTCCTCATGGATTGGGGATGAGGGAGACCGTAGTGTGCTGCAGCAAGAGAAACTCCATTTGCAGGGAGCTGCCAGCACCCTGGGGCCTGCAGGACTTGGGGGCAGCACAAGCCAACTCTCACGAGCAGGAGCTCAGACCGGGGAGCTGAATTCACCAGGGCCTCCAGTACTGGCTGCATGGAGAACAGCAGCAGCAGGGCAGGACAGAGCCAAGTGGTGCCAAACTCCAACAAGAGGCCCAGGTCCCATGCTGCTCCTCACACTTTCAGGGCTCCCTTCCCAGGTGAAAATCTGGGCTGGAGCAGTGAGGAGTGCCAGGAACAAACCCAGTCTGATCTGATCTGAACATCCCCATATCCTCACCTAACCCCTCCATCACAGGGCCAGCAGAGGATCTCAGTTCAGCACTTTGTGCTCTGAAATCCAGGTCTCTCCCCATTCCTTTGCTCCTGAGGAGCTTCATGGAAAGCTGAAATCCAATGAGGTTTGGACATCAGATGTAATTCTAGGACTAAGTGCATTGGGAAGGAGACACTTCCACCCAAAGTCTTTACTGTGGGGGTGGTGAGGCCCTGGCACAGGTTGCCCAGAGAAGCTGTGGCTGCTCCATTCCTGGAAGTGTCCAAGACCAGGATGGAAAGAGCTTGGAGCCACCTGGGATAGTGGAAGTTGTCTGTCCACAGCGGGGAGTTGCAATGAGATGAGCTTAATGGCCCTTTCCAATGCAAACCATTTTGTGATTCTATGATTAGATTTTCCTTGTTAGAAATCCTCTTTCTTTTGGTGACAGAGCCAGTCCTTAGGAGACACAAGCTGTAACCTCAGGTTGAACACAGGGACAATGTCCCAGTTCCCTTCCTGGCACAAGTACCTGCTGGCCTCCTAAAGTTCTGAGTTAGTTGTGCTAACAGCAGTGATGGGAGCAGCCAGAGCCCTCTCCTGGCTCCCAGTGCTTGTGGCCACCAAGCCCCAGGGCTTGCAAGAGGAGCGGACCCCACGCCCTGCTGACCTGTCTGGAGACTTGCTGCGCTTGCCCTTTTGGTGGGCACCCTCCAGGGCTCTGTCCATGGCCACGAGCGGGCGGCTGGCGGGGGGCTGCCCGTCCACCACCCCCGAGTAGGAGATCTCGTCGTACAGAGGGGCCGAGGGCAGCGAGGGCGACACCGAGCGCAGGCCGTTCAGCGCTTCCAGCAGCGAGATGGGCTCGTAGCCTGCGGGGATGTTGTCAGAGCTCTGCGGGTGACAAACAGGGGGGACGTTAGGAAAATATCACCAGGCTGGAAGCCTCCTGCTCCCCCCAGGCAGCCCATCCCCACAGCCACCTCTCCAGGCCTCCCTGGTGCCTTCCCTGGACAGCCACACATTCCCCTCAGGGCTGCAACGCTGGTGATGCTCCAGGCAAGTTACCAGAGCAGTGCTTGAGAGGTTGGGTATCCCCCTGATGTGCTTTCAAGAGCTGGGCAAGGAGGGTGAGGAAGCAAGCTCCTAAAAAGCTGCTATAAAATACGTTTGGATTTTTTTCTCCTGAAAGCTCCTCCAGCGATTCAGAGACCCTTCCAGCTCAATGAACATCCCACTTGTGCTCCCAGCCATGGAACATGCAGCTGTGTCACAGCACCACCAGTGTCACCAAGGCAGAGCTGAAGGAGGGGAGCATGTGTGCACCAGCTAAGAGATGGTTCTTGAAGCCTAGCCCAATTCTACTTCTCCCATGTCCTCTCAGCTGCTAACACTGGCTCCATGCACAGCCACCTCTGCTAAAAGGCAGGAAAGGGATCACAAAACCACTGACCTCGTAAGGAGGAAGGAAAACCACACCACCTCCCATTCTCTCTGTAAATCACAAAGCTGCCACTCAAAGGGACCCTTGCAAAGCCATTAAATCAACACTGGTTTAACTCCAAAAATCCTTCTGATCATAAAGACCCTGTGGACCCAGAGACAAATGGGGTTTATGCTGCAACCCAGGAGGCCACAGGCAGCTCAGCCCAGCCTGATGCAAATCAAGAGGTGACACTCCCACAGTTCAGGCTACCTTAAATTGAGATGTTTCAGTCCTGTGTCCTCAAGGAGGTGGTTCTAAGTTGTACAGAGGATGGCACTGTGCTGCTAAGCCTGGCCATGAACCTCCACAGAAGCTGTGTGCCCCACATGAACCTGCAGATGAACCTGCCCAGCAGCCTGTACCAACACAGCCCCTGATTTGGTGAGAGCTGACTCACCTTGGTCACAGGAGGAGTTAGGGCTGATGGGGAGGGAAGAATGAGTGGCACCTGGGGTCAGTCGCCAGCCCACATCCCAGTACTGGTCCTGTGAGTGTTGTGAGCTTTGAAGATAAAGAGCTCAGCTAAACAAGGAATGGGTTCCCAACTGCTGTCAGCTGTAGGTGGTGGGGCCAAAAGCCATCTCCAAAAAACTTTTCATCTGCAGACAGCAGCCCAGCTGTGCTATTCTGTGTACAGAAAAGTCAGGGAGACAAACTCCCCTGGATTCCTGTTTGGGACTTTTTCTCCTGGCTGTGCAGAGCAGGCCCTGAGGGTTCAAAGGCTGCCTGTTGCTGTGCTGAAAGTTCAGGTTGCATGGCACAGCTCAGAGCCTGGAGGAGGATTCCCAGCCCATGGCTAGGACACCCTCACTGGGACACCACTCCCTTCTGGGACACTCACACCACACCCAGGAACACTGCCAGTCCCTGTGGGAGCCTTGCAGAGACCCAGGTCATGCCAGAATGGGTTCAAACCTGAACCAGCACCAGGTTTTCTCCAGACCTTCAAGCCCAGCAAGCCGTGTTCCTACAAGGCTGAGCATCTGAGGAGGCTTGAGCAAAAGAAAACTGCAACTTCCTTGACAAAGATGACAGCCACGGCTGCATTTGATGGGAGTAAACCAAGAGGGCACAAGCAGCCTGCCTGGCCTGGGGGCTTCCTCAGGTTTCCCCTTCCCAGCTCCTGGACCCCACAATTGCCATTCATGCTGTCCCCAGAACAGTCCAGTTACACACTGCCAAACCCGCTCAGAGGGTCCCCAGCCAAGACAAGCTCCATCCTTCCTGTTCCTGAAAAAGCAAACCAGCCTGTCACAGCCAGTGCTCCTGAATGCAAGACCAGCTCCAGCTGCACCTCTGCATGCCAGCACCACAAACCACACCAAGATGTGCCCACACCAAACTGCCAAGGGGATGAGGTAAGTGCAAGGAAGCTTTTGGGTGAGCTGTGGGACTGCAGCTTGCCCACAGTCCTAAGAAGCTGTGAAAACATCTTGGCCAGGAACCATAAATCAGCCAGGGGACAGTCCCTGAGAGTCAGCATCAGACCCCTGTGCCAAGCTTGCTTGCTCCTCCACAGGCAAACCAGGGATGTCAGTGATTATCTGTGCAGGGTGTGAGCATCTCACTGCCACTGTGAAGGACGTGGAGTGTCACAGCCTGGCAGGGGCACAGGCCAAACCCAGCGTGTCAGCAAGCCCTCGTGTGTGACACTGCCACGTGCAGGTGACACCGCTGGCAGAGAGCTGCCAAGTGCAACCAGCAGAGTCCACTTACTGTTCTTACTTCCCTCCTAGGCTTCCTGCTGGGCAGGGAGACAGAGCTCACCTTAAGGGGTTTAAAGGGGTGCTGTCAAGAGAAAACCATGTTTTAAAGAAGTTGTTTCTTGAGGTTAAGTGACAGGAAGAGACACACAGCATCCCCTCACCTCTCTGCAGGTGACAGCGCCCGTGTGCTCCACACACCACACTCTGCTTCACAACCCTCAGGCCTTCACCACCCTATTCCTCAGCCCCAGCTGAAGGCAGCAGAGGGCAGGTGGATAAAGCCAACTTTTTTCTGTGACAGTGCCTGTTCCCATGAAAGCCTGTAGGATGGTCTAGATGCACTTGTCCTTCTCCTCACTCTAATCTCAGTGTCTCACCAGAGCCAGCTGTGCAACAGTGCTGCTCAGGCAAGGAGATGCTGCCCTTACCACACTGGGACATGCAACTGGGCCCTGAGGCCACCAGCATGACACTTCCCATCACACACTCCCTCAGATGCATGCCAAGACACCCAGGGAAGCTGCCACAAGGAGGCCTTTCTACTCCCATGCTGGGAACCCCAGTGCCAAGGGCATTTCATCTGTATGCTGCCACAGAGATGTGTTTGTTAGTCAAATTGGAACCCCTCTGCCCTGTTTTCACAGCTCCCACTCTGTCATGCCCAGAGTCTGCCACTTTTCTGTTG